AGGCCTACACGAGATGAGGCAGGATAAAGAGGGATAATCCCCCTCGATCCCAAATCATTGAGGCCAATTTCTAGCTATGGAATAATGGCGCGTGTGTCGTTGTCTTCGTTTCTTGATCCTGGCGGTCTCTGAAACAGAAAAGGTTAGCGGGCAGGGAAAGAGGGATAATCCCCCTCGATCCCAAATCATTGAGACCAGTTTCTAGCCATGGAATAATGGCGCTACGGGTCCGTAATGTGTCGGTTCTGTCGGTCCGAGTATCGTCAAGTTGTCGTGTCTGTCTTGGTAATTGAGCAGGACTCGACCTATTGTGGTCGTCGTCCCGCTGTGCCATATGGGGGACTTCGCGTTGAAGTCCCCGATGGCAATTGTCTGGGGCCAGGAGTAACTAAACCAGTGACTACTGTTTTGACTTCTGACTGCTGACCACACATAGGCAACTTTACTGGTAAGAGATTGAAAAATACCCCCACTACTTGACTCCAGAGCCCGAGAGGACAGCGATATGTGTCTGTCCTTTTTTAGACAGAGACAAAATAAAATTCTGTTGTCTCTGTTAGCATTCATTTTGAAATTTAACAGCTGACGCCGGTACTTCATCGTGATTCATACGTTACAATATAATTTTAGAATTTTCAGAAAATGTAATAATGTGAATGAAGAAATTATACGTGATTGCCAATGACATCAATTCACAAATGAACTACATGGTGATTTACAAACAGTGACAAAAAATGAAACCTCGAATTCTTTAGTGAATTTTAAGGTAGGTCTTTCATATAAAGTTTTTGTCTAGGTCGGTTCACTAAAACAATCCAGTGTTAAATTAATATTTTTAATTTTTTATAACATTTTAGAAACTAGTGAGTGAAATAATTTGAAATTAATCACATGAATGTATGTAAATATTGTACAAAATCGGAAGCATTTTCTTAAAAAACAATGTTCCAGTGGCTGAGATACAGGGCTTTATTATGATATTTTCGGATTCTCCTTACAATTTTCTACAAATCACAACCCCTTTGTTTTTTGAAAAAAAAAAAAACATTTTCGTTGAACTTAAAACATTGTTTAAATTACAATAGAAACACTTTTAATATATTATTTAATCGAATAAAGAACATCTCATAGATGATTTTATTTGAGTAAATGCTCAAAAATACCTCAATTTGCGCAAACACAGCCTACTAATGTAACGATTAAACAGCATTGTATTCAAATATCGAAGTGTGTCTTCAGTTTATTTTTTAAGTTTTACTCAGGAAATCAGGCTTTTTTTGGAAAAATATAAAAGAATAGTAATTTGTAGAAAATTGGAAGAGGAATGCGAAAATATCATGATTGTTACAATAAAGCAGCGGCATACTTTTTTATTTAGACAAATATACCAGCAATACACTGCAGCCTTTATTTTTTAATTTTCATTATTTGTAAAAAATTTAAATATTATTTAAATTTTAATACCCTGTATTTTTTTAACGAAACTTCCTAGATAAAAGCTTTATACGAAAGAGCCCTCTTAAAATTCACTAAAGAATACGAGGTTTCATTTTTGGTCAGTGTTTGCGAATCACCTTATGAGTATTATGAGAAGTTATCGTATGCCCCTTTACACCCAATGAACTTATCTTATACCCCTCGTATGTGCAATTGCCCTTGAAAGTGTTTCTTACTCCAAACACCGATGGCGTATTTAATGCATTTTTTCATTGAGTTGCCTATCTATTTCTTAAATAGTATATCTTATCTATGCTGCTGACTGTGCTGTGTGCTGTGGTCTATGGTTGTGCTACGCAAAATTGTGAATCTAACCTAACCTAGATCTTTTTATTATAATTTCTCAGTAACCACTGTAGAATTATATTTACTACACGTGGGATTTTAGTAAGTAGCATTGCAATATATTTTTTTATAATGGGTAGGAAAGCGAAGTTTAATGATGGAGTGCTTGTTAAAAAGGGACCTGGTAAGAAAGCGAAAAAACAAAAGGATCCAGTTTTTCCAAAAAACTTGAGAGGTATACTAAATATTTCTAATTGTTCTAAATTACATATTTTGTACATTAAAATTTTTTCTTATAGAAAGTGATACAGAAAAGACTAAGTTAAGCCGTCGTCAAAGACTTAGAGCAAGGAAACGTTTGCAACAAAATAAAGTACGACAAAGACAGATTACTTCTAAGACAAATGGAAGGAAAAATGATATACCGCCTAAAGGCAGTGAAGAATCAGAAATTGAATCCGAGGATGATTTGAATGAGAGTGAAAGTGAACAGGAGGAAATTATTAGACCCAGTAAGGGATATTCTGATGATAATAAACTATGGTTGAAACCTAAACAAGATACGCTTGAAGAAGATAGTAGCAGTGAAGAATTAATTAATGAAGGAGAAAATGTAAGTAAAATGACAAATTTTCAAACCAGAATAATGCAATAACAGAGCATATTAAGAGATCAGAGAAAATATGTTAGGACATGTACAGTTCATACAATATTTGTTGAAATATAGAAATAGAATTCCAAGAAGACTTGCGCGTCACTTTCTTGGAATTAACCGCATTTGACACCTGAGGTAGAAAGATATTGGCGGGAAATTTAAGGACACTCCCCCACCACAGTAAATTGTTACAGTACTTCTGATTTTCTTAGAATTCTATCTCAATAAATATTGTATGGACTGTATGATAAACATTACGCCATAGTGCTAAAGAGAAATGAATGTATAGGTACATTTTCTTATGTAATAATGCATCTCCTTATCCATATACAGTAAAATCTCATTAATCCAGCACCATTAAAAACCTTATGAGTGCCGGAGTACTGGAAAATTCGAATTAATGGAATATGTATAATGTAAACAATATTAAATTAAAAAACATTACATTTAATTGTTTAATGTAGATACATATATATACTTATTACATTTGTGTGTGCATGTATATGTTTCTGTAAAATAATCTTTCAACTAAACTATAACTGTATAAACTGTATTCTTCAAGGATAGTAGACAAACGTGGAAAAAATTACGCCGGATTACTGGACGTGCCGGTGTAATGAAGTGCCGGATTATAGAGATACTACTGTACTTCTATATTGAGCATTCTTTCCAATGTATGCCTTAGTTTTCAAATTATCCATTTGCAAGATAAGAAGTCTTCAGTTGTGAGCTCGGTTGTGAGGGTATCTATCAACATTATAAATATGCCGTCTACATATTGTGTTAAAATTCTATTTCTTTCCAGCTATTTATTAGATGATTAGGTACATGTACTTGTGTTATGTATTCATAGTTTTTTTCTTATATTAATATCATTGATCTTCTGTCTGTGTGAATCAACTTACTAAATGTTGAATAATAACTGATATACGTTTATTTACATATCACTCTTTTCATTGATCAATTTTCCATGTTACCACTGGTTTTACATTTTATTGAAAATTTTTTTTGTATAGGAAGATGGAGAAGAATATTCTGAAAATGACAGTGAAAATGATGACAATGAATTTGTTGCGGAAGAAAACTTGAAAGTTGGAAATTTAAATGATATCTCAGATGACGATTCTGAAGAACAAGATGAATTTGAGTCTGGCGATGAGAAAGAAAGTGATGAAGATCAGGAAGAAGACCTGTTGCCTATTGAAAAAGAAAATATAAAACTGAAGAAAAAGCAAGCTAAAGAACAAAAATTAGCTGAGGAAGAAATGCAACTTAACATAGCAAACCAGGAAGTTTTTGCTTTCCCTAAAAAGTCAGATGAAGAGGTGCAAAGCTTACAAGATGTTCAACAACGAATACGAGAGGTTATTGCAGTTTTAACAGATTTTAATAAACTTAGAGATAAAAATCATTCCCGTTCTGAATACTTGGATATTTTAAAGAAAGACTTGTGTACTTATTACAGTTACAATGAATTTTTAATGGTGAAATTCATGCAATTATTTCCACTTTCTGAATTATTAGAATTTCTTGAGGCGAGTGAAGTTCAACGCCCTTTAACTATTAGAACTAATAGTCTCAAAACTCGCAGGAGAGATTTAGCTCAAGCTTTGATAAATAGAGGCGTTAACTTGGACCCAATTGGAAAGTGGAGCAAAGTGGGTTTAGTTATCTATTCCTCCCAGGTTCCAGTAGGTGCTACACCAGAGTATCTTGCGGGACATTACATTATCCAAGGTGCTTCAAGTCTATTGCCAGTTATGGCTCTGGCGCCTCAGGAAAATGAAAGAATATTAGATATGTCGGCAGCTCCTGGTGGAAAAGCCTCTCACATTGCTGCTATCATGAAAAACACAGGCATGTTATTTGCAAATGATATCAGTAAGGATCGTATTAAAGCAGTAGTTGGCAACTTCCACCGTTTAGGAGTCGTAAATTCTGTAATCACTAGCATGGATGGTCGTAAATACCCAAAAGTTATGACTGGATTCGATAGAGTTTTGCTTGATGCCCCTTGCACAGGCACTGGAGTTGTTGCTAAAGATCAGAGTGTTAAAACGAGCAAGGATGAGCAGGACATTCAGAGATGCTATAATTTGCAACGACAGTTATTATTGGCCGCTATAGACTGTGTTAATGCTAAATCTGCGTCTGGAGGATATGTTGTGTATTCGACATGTTCCATTTTACCGGAAGAAAATGAGTGGGTCATTGATTATGCCTTGAAGAAGCGCAATGTCAAATTGGTGGATACTGGTCTTGAATTTGGAACCGAAGGCTTTGTAAATTATCGTCAATATAGATTCCATCCCACATTAAAACTAACAAAGAGATTTTATCCACATTCACACAATATGGACGGATTCTTCGTAGCCAAACTAAGGAAATTTTCTAACCTTATCCCTAAATCTGTAGACAACGATGAGGTATCAGAAGAAACTATGGATGAGGACAAGAAATTAAAAGAAGAAAATACACTAGAAGAGTCCCCAAAAAATAAAAAGTCGAATGAAAATATAAAAAACAGCAGCAATAAAATTAGACAGAAATCAAAAAAAATAAATGAGTCAACTTCAGAACAGGATAAGAAGAAATCTGATGAGGGTTGTGTATCTGTACCTACTAGGAAGAAAAAACTTGTTAGCGACCAAAATAGTGCCAATAAAAATAAGCGAAAAATGAAGCAAACTATTGAATCTAATGAGGAAAGTATATCAGAAGTACCTATTAAAAAGAAAAAAGTAAGTGAAAATGTAAATAAAAACTCAACCGAAATCCTAAACACTGGTAATAAAAGAATTAAACAGAAGAAAAGAATTTTGGAAGAGGGTAAGAAGAAATTAAAGGTTTCTCTAAAAAATAAAAACAGTAATGTTAGTAAAAATAAACAGAAAGCAACACGGAAATAAATAAGACTTATTTTTTTGTATTAAATGTTTAAAAACTGTTTCTCATAATAAATTTCTTAAATTTATTTGATTTATTTTGTTAGATAATATGAAATTATAAAAGTGCTCTTCAAATATCAGCACTACTTTAACGACAAGATAACAATCTGTTAAGGGGTAACGCCACCCTAAACGATGGGAAAAAATGTGATTTTCGGAAAATTTCAAGGAAAAATCAATACAAGATGCAGTGTCAGTAACAAAAAGGCTTAACTGTACATGTTTTCAAACGATTAGGATTCAAATCGTAGGCTGGGACCTTTTTCCAGCGCTGTATGGCCGGAAAGATTTCTTATTAAAGGATGGACCAAAAAAAAACAAAAATTTTCTAATACAGGGAACATCGTACGTAAATTTAAAAATATTAATTGTTGAATTAGGGAATATTAAAAAAAGTATCAAAAAAAGACGAACAATTTTGCATTAAATTGTCAGTAACAATGAAAATTGTTAATAAATCGAAAAACCTCTACGATGTTTCATGAATTATGTTATAGTGAATCTCTGTACAAAATTTTAAGTCGATTTATTGAAATCTTTTTGAGTTATGTTACCGGCCAGTTAAAAAAAGTGGGTTCTCGAAAAACGCTTTAATAGTTTTTATTAACAATCAGCATAATGTATCTGGGACTCAATTCTGGCCTCTATAATAGCTATCGTGCATGTTATTACGAGTTGCAATAAGGGCACTGCGAGTGGTTGTGCTCCACCTCGGAAAAACTTGTGTTCTCGATTTTCCCCCACCTAAAATCCTTTTTCTTTTTATTCTTCACATAATTGGTTAAACCACGACGAACAAATATTCATAAAAAATTAAGATAAGCTTAGTAATATGAAGAAAATCATCAAAAAAAATTATGATAATAAAATAATTTTTCACAATTTAGTAGTCATATGAGAATGCAGATTTTTTTGATCTTTCCACTTAGAATGTGCAGCAATAGACAGTTTTTATAGCAACTTGTATAAATAGGAAACCGATATCTAAGGTACCGTATGATAGGTCGTAGAAATCGATTAGGTACTTGTAAGATACATAATTTATAATAATTCTCCTTCAAACTGCTGTTGTTGATTAACTTAACGTCCATATGCGTGATAGTGGCAATGCCGCGGTTCTCGACGTAGCGTATTATTTGATATTCGCAGGTGTGCCATATGGTGTATATTTCAAGATTAGGCATCCAAACAAAGCCAGCCAAGTGCAACGTTGACAAATCTAAAGGCTTACTACTTTAGTCACTAGCGAATGTACAGAAACTCTCATTAGACTTTTAGACGTACCTCCGTAACCGATAAACCTCCTTAAATTAGTTATTTTGATGTTAAGGTGCAGTTATTAATATAGCTTTAATAAGGGAAAATTATGTAACATTCTAACCCTTACCTCTATTACATTTTTACTTGGAAAAAATACTGGCCAAAATTTTAAGAAATTTTGCTATTATTATTAAATAATCTTTATTTTCTATAGATTTATACAGGGTGTCTCATAATTAGTGTCCAATAATTTACCACTTGATTGCCAAAAATAAGAATATTTTTTCATATAAACATTGGTCGAGAAATGCTTTCCTACGCTCCCCTAAATGGGGCCTCAAAAAGTTCATTTTTTAAATATATTTCCGAAATGGGTTGAAGGAAAATTATGAATTTGAAAAAAAAAACGGAATTTTGGAAATCGGTTTTTGTTTCATTTCAGCCTTGTTTGAGGAGATATTGAAAAAAAGGAAAACACTCTCATGGCAACTTTTTGTCTTCTATCGAATGGCATAATCAATTTTTATATGTAATGTTTCGTCTTTCCAGGACCATCATCAATTTCATTTTTTTAAATGCAGCCCTGGAGATTTTATATCTTTTGCAAGCCTTCACGACCCCCAATATTGTACTGCCTTAGCTTGAACTAGATTTAGACGTTTTGTCTAAAAAAATTCTTCAATATTAGTTCCTTTATCTAAATTTCTTATTTAGATTTCTATGTTTATTGAATTACCATGTACTCTATAGTAGGATCGTATTCGATGCAAAGTAGAGCAAAAAGTTGTCGGTCTTTTATCAAAGGAAAATCGTGTCATCATTTTTAGGAGGCGTAAGAGAAATCATTTCAAATTTAAAATGAAATTCAATGTAAAATCTGAAATACCGTTGCATACGCACTGTGTTCTGGTAGTAGTTGTAGTCGCCTAGGTGCATCGAGTGTACGAACTGGTCGGTTATACGTCAAATACTAATCTGGCGAGCTTTGCCGTCAATTAGAGAGCGCTTCCAAAAAACAAGTAAACAACAGTGGCGCGTACAGAGGTAAAATGTAGTACATATGTGGAATTTAGGAAACAAATTGGATTTATAATAAATTACATTTAAAATAAATAGTTTATGAGAATAAAGGAATTTTTGTAGGAACAAGGGTGCCAGACCTGAACTGATCCCCTCGTCCCTTCATAATGTATAAAGAAATTATTCAATTTGTAAAACCCTAAAAAGCGTACTTCATTGGATCCCTTGACAGGCAATGATTTATTACTTTGCATCGAATATGATTAAAAAATTACAGTAAATGTTAAAAAATATTTCCGTTTTGGCAAATGTTGAAAATGAAAATAAGTGTAATATGATTGGAATTTATTATACCTGTAACCACAACTGTGAAAGAATGAATATCCTGAAAAAAAATTAGATCAGAATTTGTTTGAATTTTGAGCTCTCGAGAAACCTAGAAATAATTATGGGCACGGGATTAAAACAATAAATATGTTTTATTGTAATGCATAATGGTAATTAATAGTTTAAATAACCAGGTGGATTTCACAGGGTCTAACGACACCTAGTGTGCATTCAATAAACATATAAATCTAAATAAAAATTTAAATAAATTTGGAATATATTGAAGATGAATTTTTTGAGACAAAATGTCTGAATCTGGTTCGGGCTGAGGCCGTACAATATTGGGGGTCGTGAAGGCTTGCAGAAAATGTAATAAAATTTCCAGGGCCTAGAAAGACAAAATGTTACATATATGAATTGATTATGCCATTCAATAAAGGACAAAAAGTTGCCATGAGAAAGTGTCCTTTTTTCGGTATCAAACAAGGCTGAAATAAAACAACACCGGATTTACAAAATTTCGTTTTTTTTTCAAATATTTCGAAAACTAATTTAGTTAGCCTTGATTTTTTTTAGAGGCATAATGTAGGTTTCCAGATTACCCAATTTTGACCTCATTTAAGCTAGTTGATATATCTTACCGTTTCTGATGAGAACCCTGCAGTGAAAAGTGAATTTGTAACAGCCTGTATAGAGCATTGAAAGATTTGGGAGTGAACGATAAACTCATTAAATGTTTTTTGTAACTTCTAGTCCTTCATTTATAATGCAAAAATATATTTTTTATGGAACTTAATACATTTCCTGATTATTGAAAATGATTTTTTTTAGTTCCTCTTTTTTTTTTTTTGATAAATTAAATGTTATGGATATATTTGATGTGTCTAATAAAAAATTTTTTATCATGATATAATTGAGATAAAAAATAATATTATTTTTGTTGCAAAATTGTTTTTAGCATATAAATATGATGAAAACAATTTTTTGTGCAAATATTATGTTCTGAGGTCTGAGGAATTATAGAAAAGATCCAAAATTACAAAGTGCCATACGCTGCTTTTCCCATTTAACTTTTCTTAAAAAATTGAGCCTGTGACATCAAATTATTTTTTCTATCTTTCCAAGAAGTAGGACAAACATCTCAAAAGAAGATATTAAAATTGGTCCTATACTTACATTTAATGCCTTGTACCTACACCTCAGGGCACATGTCATATTTCAAGTGATTTGTATCTAGGTGCCTGTATTAACAATTTTGAATTTTGATACATCCGTTTACAAGTTGAGGCCACTTGTTGTAAGACATGTAACATCGCTGTGTTGATAAGTGTGCTTTAGTGCGTAAAGAACATAAAACTCTAGAGAATTAGACTAGACAATGTGACAGTGGAAGTAATAATGTGAAATTATAATTGGTACTAAATTATTTATTTAAAATAAATTTTGCATAGGAATCCTTAAGAATATCAAATTGATGTTTTGTAACATTCAGACCTTCAATCTTTTCAGATATATTTTTTCCAAATTCTTCTAGATCTCTGTCTCTGTTGCTTAAGACAAATAATTGGTTCTCAATAATCAACACTGAGTCGTTTTTCATAATGTGCTCCATTAAAACTTTGTCAAGATACTTTATGCTTGTGTTTCCAAAATATACAATATCGAACAAATTTCGATATTTCTCTTTATACTTCATCATGTCTAAAGCTGATATTGTTAAAAAGGTTATCTGATCTTCCAGTTCTACACATTTTTTAGGAGGTTTTGGAACAAAGTCTGGTGATTTAACATCAACCACTAATTTCTCCTCTTTCATTATGATGGAACCTAGTTTTAAATCTGAAGTTTTGTTGTGTTTGTACTCTTGTTTATCAAGTATTTCATAGAAAATTTGTTTCAAATTCCTTTCTGTAATATCAGTGGCTCTGTAAGAATTCTGTCCATTGGATGAATCAAGAAAAGACTTGTCTTCACAGTCTAAACCGAATGCTACATAAGGTCCAGTCTGTACATCTCCCAAATAGCCATAATGTGTATATTTTTCACCTTTAGGTAATACAGCACACACTAACGATCTATTTGGCTTTGACACTTCAGATTCTAGCCAAGAAAATGCCACTCCATTTAATCGAAAGTTTTTATATTCTTGAGTACAAACCTGTTTACCACCTATGCTATGAAATCTCATGTGTAAGTCCCAGTCAAAAGCTCCAATTTTCGAATCATATCTGATACCTAGACTTTTCCGTAGTCTTCGATCCCAACATTCACATATATTATAATCGTCTCGACCACACCAAAATTTCAATAAATTTTCTAGATAGTCACGCTCTTTATACTTTATGTCTATGTTAATGAAACTCATGAAACTTTTTAAGTAATCATAATCTGTAACCATTTTAACTAAATTAGAAGCTAATGATTTTAAATATTTTGCAGTTGAAGGTCTAACCAATGTATTCCCATATATTTCCATAAATATTTTTGTTTTTTGTTCCAATCCTAAATTTTCTGGTGGTTGTAGTGCTATATTAAGTAACAATAACTGCCTGGCAACATGTTCCATGCAAGCATCTATTAAGTAAAAATTGATTTTGCATTTAGCATAAAGAAATTTTTTTGCTTCGGTTAGTAAGATATGTCGACAATCTGAACCTCCTATTATAAGAATATTGAGTTCTTCAGGAGTATCTCTTTTGGATAATGTATATTCTTCTAGTAAATTAAGAGCTGGTGTTAATCCCCAAAACATTATTTGCTTGGATTCACAACTACAATTCACAACTTGAATTCACTTTGACAACATGCAACTATTGATCTAATTTTCATTACCATGGAAATAACTAAATTATTTATTATTGTTGTTATTATTACGTCTGCAGATACAAATTAGTTTATACAGAGTGTTACAAAAATGTAGATTAAAACATTAATCGTCACAGATTTTTTGGGCAAAATTAATAGGACATTCCTTATGCCATTTTTGATTTAGGAGCCTCTTTTTCAAGATATGGGGAGTCAAATTTAATGAAATATTACCAATTATTTTTTAATATTTCACTCTTTAACATTTTGATTTATGACTTGATATAGATACGAGTTATTACAGCTTTTTTGGCTGTTTTACAATTTTTCTTAAAGCCATTAACAAACTTTACAAAAAGGCATTTAGATGTTACCGATTTGTACACAGGGTGTTTTTTAAATAAGTGCGAACAATTTTGGGGGGGGGTAATGGTTGCCGAAGTTATTTTGTGAAAAAAGCTCATATAAATGTAGGTCGAAATATGCTTTGTTTCCGAGATACAGAGTGTTTAAATTTTAATGTTTTATTTATTTTTATTAATTATTTCAGTTTGGAAGATATTGACTCCAAATTTTAAAAACGCATTGGAGGGATAAATGTGCATTTTTTGGGGTGATCGGAAGATTAACAAAACCCACAATAAAATATGTTTTATTTTTTTCCTCAAAAACGGTGCATCCTACGAAAAAAATTGAAGAGACCAATTTCATTCAAAATTGATGGCGGATTGCTAAAAATGTCAAAAAATATCAAAAGTCAGTGGCGTGCCATTTTTTTTAAAAAAGTGGCATTCTCGCACGAACGCCACCGGTGCAAGTAGAAATATTCAAATAACCCCAAAACATGCACATTTATCTCTTCAAAGCGTTTTTAAAATTTCAAGTCAATATCTTTAAAACTGTTTGAAATAATTAATAAAAATAAATAAAAAATTAAAATTTAAACACTATCTCGGAACTGAAGCATATTTCGACCTACATTTATATGAACTTCTTTTCACAAAATAACTTTGGAAATCACCCCCTAAAATATTTCGCACTTATTTACAAACACACTGTATATGTATATACAGGGTGTTTCAGTTCGAGTGAATCAAACTTTAACCACAAATAAAATTCAATAAATGATTTAGAATTGCCGCATAAAACAAGGGTCTAAGTCTCACCGTTTTCACTGTACAGGGCCGTATTGGTCGGTTTTTAAAATCATTATTTATAAAATCTTTGGTATGCTTATAACAAATTGATTCAAATTTTTTGTGGTGTTAACATTTACGCATGTGCATAATTTACTGTACAATTTACAAATTTTTGTAGGTCAGTGGCGTAGGTATGGGTAGTAAAGGGGGATTTTTTTTGCCTCAATTTCTACGCCAATGACCTAATAATCATTTGGGATTCATTTTTAGATTCTACATAAAAGAGGTATGCTTATTGAAAATCGGTATAATGTATATAAGAAATTTAGTTTCTTAAGGGTAGGAAATAAATTTTAAATTAATATTAACTTGGAATTCAAAATAATATTAAACAATATGTCTCTACATCGGCGAAACGACTGGTAAATTCTAAATATAATCTCTTTGTTTTATTTATTGTATTCGTAATGTGATGAATTCCCTCTCTGAGCTCTTTTCTTGTTGCGCTACAGTGCGGTGTACAGCATGCATATTCAAGGGCATCTCCATACACAATATTGTAATTTTTCCAAGTTCTAAGCGTAGTCAATTGCACTACAACCTTATTTCTGTTTGGGCTTCGCCCTTTTTAAGCAGAACTACACAAATACGTATTTTCAATTATTAAATATCTTAAAAAAAAAACAATGAAGGTGATAAGTAAAAATCCTTTTTAAAATGTAAATTTGATACTGCTGGAAAAGAGGTGAGTAAATGAAAAATAGTATCACGAAAGCCTCGTTATTTTTGTCCCAAAAATTCTGGGGTTAAATTCATGACTTTTTTCGGTAATCATCAGTATTGATAAATGGTATCGATGTAACGAACATCTTCTAAGTTACTGTATATGCATTCTGAGTTCTACTCTACGGGTTCATTTTTCATGAAGCCATGTTCCGGTATAAAGCCAATTTTAACTAATTTAAAATACCGTAAACTACATGCCCAAATAATTTTTCAGGAGCTGATAATTTTCTTATAGAGCAATAAGTAATCATTATTTTTTAACCGGATAAGAATTATTGTACCAACTTCTTAAGAACTTGGAAATGCCCCTAATGAATATAAAGTAAGTGGAACGAACTAATTAGAACAATTTTCAAGAAAAGTTTAGGCATGTCATCAGATCAGAACTTTTAATAGAATCTATATTGTTTAAAGCATTTAATACTTTTTATCACAATTAATTATTTTATAACAGTTTACAAACTTTGACGTTTTACAGCTTTCAACCCCTAGCGCATTGGCAGGGCCGTTTACATATCATTCGTTATTTCCCGCAATTTCCATAGGTTTCTAAGAACAGAATCTCTAAGCTACGAATATCCTAGAACCATCATGAAACTAATATGGAAATAATATCAGCAAAGAATAATAGCGTGGTTTTCGATTCACGGGGGGCACCCTTCTAAAGATGTTCGTCCCGATCAGCAACCAGAGACCTCCGACGGGTGCTCGGTATTGCGTCAGACGATCTAGGTGAACGACTTTAATTTTTGCTGTGGGTCCTCTCTGGATCCTGTAGACCACGCCGTTGATTCTCTTGATCACCATATGTGGATCTTCCTAGAAGTTGTGGAGTTTTGGATATTTCCTCTTCTTCCTTACTGGGTTGTACAGTCATATCAGATTTTCTGCCTGAAATCCACTGGTTTTGTATCTGACGTCATACCATGTGTTCAACCGATCATCGTTTTGAAATTCCAAATTCTATCTGACTTTGTCATGGATGACATCAATTCTTTTGGCTAACTCGGATGGGTAGTCTTTAGTTATGTTAGCTCGATCTTTTGGATGGTCAAAAACAATGTCGAGGGTAGCCTCAAATCCGAACACTGCTAGCTGGTGTTCTTCTGGTAATTAGTTCAAGCATTCTGTCGCGAATTAACGTTAAATTTGCAGAAATTATTACCTGGACAAAAAAAATATGACCGTATAGAAAATTAAATTTTAAATTGAGTTTCTTGTTCTTTAAACTCGATCCAAAATGGCGAACATGGTTAAAAAAAATCGCAAAGTTGCAAAAAACGGTTTTTCTAAAATAACTAAAAAAATATAGCACCGATTAAAAAATTTTAAATGAGAAAGTTGTCGGTTTTAAAAAGACCTATCGACTGATTTTTTGTAAGTATCGATTGCTTTGTTACTTCTCGAGATATATCGAAAAAACCGTTAAAAATTTTGAGGACGCAATTAACGTTTTACAGCGATGCGCTTGATGCGAGGTTAATATTGAATACTTATATTTTCAAAAAAAAAGGATATGTTTACTTGATTTTTAGTGTTAATAACTGAGTAATAAACTGAAGCGTGCAAGCGCTGAGTGCGTCGGCTGGACCGGACGGAGAAGTAGGGGGAATGGGCGCGCGCTCGCTCTGAAAACTGATGACGTGGAGTCTAAATGGCTCGCGCTTGCAAAATCTTTGATATCCCGGCTTCTGGACCACGTACAAAAATTCTTTTGTACTTAATCTGGGGTAGCTAAACACGAATATTATAGTCATTTTCGCCTTAGAAGCAAAATAGTCCCGTAAATGTTTATATTTAATTTATATATTTTTTTCTTTTATTATACTTCTTCACGAAAATATGGACGAGGGACAAGAAAATGAATCAAAAGAGAATCCGACAAAGAAAAGAAGAATTTCATTCGATAAATAATTTTATTTATATAGGATAGTTGTTAGTTTTCATTGTAATAATTTTATAGATATTTTATACATAGTTGTATAATTATTAAATATTTTTGTAAATAAATTAAATTCTATAAACTTATTTTACACCAAAATTAATTAATTATTGACATGATGAAGTAATTGTTAAAAGCCAGCAACAAGTACAACGTCAGTATGATTAATGAAGAAAAAAAAATGTATTACACGAAAACTACTGTAATATTATTAATTATTAAAATGACGATAAATGCAAAAAAAATTGTAAATTAAATAAAAACTATTTACGGGACTATTTTGCTTCTAAGGCGAAAATGACTATAATATTCGTGTTTAGCTACCCCAGATTAAGTACAAAAGAATTTTTGTATGTGGTCCAGAAGCCGAGATATCAAAGATTTTGCAAGCGCGAGCCATTTAGATTTTACGTAATCAGTTTTCAGAGCGAGCGCTCGCCGCTTCCACCTACTTCTCGTGCGGTCCAACTGACGCACTCAGCGCTTGCACGTTTCAGTTTATTACTCAATTACTAATACTAAAAATCAAGTAAACATATCCTACTATTTTTTTTGAAAATATAAGTATTCAATATTAACCTCCATCAAGCGCATCGTTGTAAAATGTTAATTGCGTCCTTAAATTTTTTTTAAATAAAAAAATTATCTCGGCTCCAGAAGATCGTAGAAAAACATTTTTTTTAAATTCGTGAAAAAATGTCAGCAGTTTCTTTCTTTAAAAGTCATTTTCATAAAATAAAAATTGAAATAGTTATTTGAAAAAAAAATACCCAAAAAAAAGTTCAACATTTTTAGTCATTTTTTATCCTTAAAATTAATAAAATCGTCAACATTTTTTAACAGCATGATAATATAATTCTTTACGAAGAAAATAAACCGAAAATCGTTACTGTAGGTCTATCCGTTGAGAAGATCTAGCCTTTTCTTCAAAAAATATATCGAAAAATAATTAATATTTTTAAATTTTTCAAAAAATGTACTTTTTTGGCTTGTCGCGGGCTATGCTTGCAGTAAATAGCAAATATGGGAACGTAAATGTAAACGAGTTATAGAAGAAGAGAAAAGAGAAGATTTTTAACG